GAATGCAAGCCGTCGCGCCGTTTCTCTAGCGAACGGGGGGTGCCGCTCTCGCAGTCATCTGCAGCTTACCGCCTCAAGTTTTGTGACTCACTCTGTTCGTTAACGAGCTGAGCGCGAGGATTTTGAAGAACGTTCTCAGCATTCCACGGTGTGACACGCTCGGAAACTCACTAATAAAGCCTAGGCGGAAGCTGTCGCAGGTAGGAGCTTTGTTTTTCCAGGCTACTTCAAGACTTCCGCTAGAAGCTGCTTACAGTCGCAGAATTCTGAGGAGCATTCTGAGGATCGGAAGCTCGCCGCTCCGCCTTGACGCGAGGAGGTTCGGATCGCGGGTAAGGCAGAGAACTCCTAGTCGGAAATTCCCGAGCTCGTGCCATTGGAGTTTTGCGATCTCAACCCATGTCCCGTCGTGACAAATCGTTGCCGATAGTCGGGAAGCGACGGAAGTTGCAAGGATTCCGACCCGGGTTCCTCGTTCGGTCAACATTTCACGTATTCGTATGTCGTTCTCAGTGCTGCAGTCTCGTGCACACGATTGTGTCGCTCGCTCGATTTCCACAACAATGAGAGAATAGTTCTTGAAAGTCTCACAGTTCGTCTACATTCTGGTCCTATTGGTATTCGCGTCGCTTGAGCAGACGTTTCCGACGGAGCAACAACGTCAACATGTCGAAACCTTCTCGTCTTCTAGTAGACAGCTGTTCCTCCGCAAAGTCTAACAAAAGCTATGAGACAACATACTTCAGTAAGTATGAGATGCTCTGCTCCGTGGTTTCCGATTTCACCCTCGGAGAGGGTATTCTTTCCTTCGACGAGGAGAAGCAGCTCATGAGAAGGGAGGGACAATATCGGCGCAATCAATGGATATTTTCTCAGAATCTAGAATTTCAACGAGATCATTTTTCCGTTGCCAGAGTTTCGACAGTCTCCGCGCACAGTCTGCTTATAGTCTCTGACAATGAGATATGTACCGAAATGTAGGAATTTCACTCGGACGGGAATAAGGACGGGCCGAGGGGGTTTGAGCGACGACTATCCTTCAAGATGCCACTCTGGACGATCAGAATTCTCGCTCCACGTAGGAATCGAAACGCAAACATCCAATTCGCAAAACCCACTCGAGAGTTCGGAATACTCGGGTTAGCGATTCTACCGCCGGCGCCGTGAGCAGCATCCAGAATTCAGGGAAAAAAACTCTGCGCCGAACTTTTCTCGGGGGGCTGATGATGGGAAAAACGCGAAATGTAGACGGCGCGAGCCACCTCTTGCGAATGGTGCCGTTTAGCCAAGTTTGAAGATCAAATCTTCGATGCCAAAAGAGGCTCGACGTCAAGGCCGAGTCGCCTCCACGAAGACCGCAGCTTCGCGCTGACCTGCTAATCCGAGTCGAGTCTCGAGCGAGAAGGACCTCTTGATATCCGAGAATAGTTCTATCCTATGTGAAGGTACATGTTTGAATAATCTTGAAGACATGAATCATTCGAGATGCCTTGCCCACCCACCACAAAAACAAGGAATACACTTGAGTTCCATCGGAAAATCAAGGCCTGGTAGGCCAGGTAAAAGTCTCATGGAGAGGTTTCTTCTCGCCTCGTGCCGAGCCGCGAATACTCAACGATCATTCTTGGCGGAATTCTCAAAGAGAGATCCTACCAATCGAAGCAGTGGAGTTACGATGAGATTCAGCCTGTAGAAAATCTGGACTCTGAGCAGCAGAGCTCGTAGACTCACGATAGTCCTTCTTTAAGGTTCCTCAATCACCTTGCGATTTGTCCGAGGAAGTCCCGATTTTTCCCGCAGAACCAGACTCGAGGACGCCGGCACATCCACAGATTTCCAACCGGACCTTCGACGCTGGGAGCCCGAGAGGAAGCGCGAAGAATCGAATTTACCCTCGCTGCCGCTAAGGCTACTGCTAGCGATGCTTGACGGCATGATGCTATTTTCTCGGGCGGCCTTGCCATCGATAAGGAAGTTCGCGAAGCAAACGATAGAGTTTGTTTCGGTGAGGGAGCGAAATGAGCTTTCGGCAGCCAGATGAACCGCCGCTATTCCAACCGTCCATGTATGTATCGGGTTTTGCCTCTGTGCCGCGACCTCTTTTTCTCTCCCTCTTCCTGCCGCCGTTTTTCTCCTTAGTTCCCCCAATCCAATGGCTTCTCGGTTTCCTCATCTTCCAGAGGAAGGCCAGTAAAGCAAAATGGAACAAACCCATTCGGGCCGATGGTCGTCTCGTAATAGAGCAAGGTTGCTCCATGCAGTGTTGGCAACAGTCGGTGAAAGAATACTGTTGCTCGCCAGCAGCCATATTTCCGTTCCGTGGGTAACTGATTCGCTATCGGTGGGTTCGGCGTCCGTATCAGTCGATATTCCTGCTATTTGTTTGTGCAAATGTCTTCTGTAATGCTCTCCCGGCTCTGATTCCGAAACTCTCACTCAGTCCTATTCCCGGATGCAAAGATCGCAGGAGGCTCCAGGAGACGGCTATGCGGTGTTTGAAGTTCCCGTCTTACTTTGTGCAAAATACAGCACGATTATCGTGTCTACGATCAATCTCCGATCTAGACGACACGACCTAGGAAAGAAGTGCGAACAATGCTGCCTCCGATGGGACGGACACATTATCCTGCTGCCTCACCTACGCACAGCTGGATCGGTGAAGGGTTTCGCTGACAACGAGCGTCTGGTGACTCCATCAGGTCATCAGATCCTCACGCGTCCATTGACTGAGTCCTTAGGTATCGTCCTCATAATGCCTCGACTTATTGTCCCGACTTATTTTTGGCTGCCAGGAACGACTCCGTTTCGGGCAGGTCACAGATACTGACTTCCTCCAGACGTAGGTATCTATTATTATCTACGATGTCTCAGCCGAGAATCTCGACAGCTAGACTGCATCTGTGGCGATTTGGGATGGCTCTACGGCTCAGAGTGGGCTCTGAATGATGATTTGCACACAGAGCTCGAACTCGAATACAGAGGAGCTTGCGGGATCGCCCTACAGGTCCGATGATTCAGATCGGAGAACTTGCGTTCGGAATAGTCCCCGAAATACACTGCGAATGCCTCTGGCTGGTTAAGGTCGACGTTCCTCCTCATGCATTATGAATGAGGCACAAACGAATATTGTTTCCCCGACACTATTTGAAATCTCGAAATCAATCAAGCCTCCAATCCTGTCACTCTTGAATGTCTACAGAATACGCTTGTCTCTCCTTGATCCCTTGATAATCCTCTAATCGTCGTTATCGGCATGATTAATGTTAGCTGGGAGCATATAGAGCAAGAGGCTCCGAGTTCGGAGCAAGACTTCGGGGAGCATGCATCCGAGAGAGTGTTTCCAGGAGTTGCTCGCCCTTCCTGGAAGAGAATGGGTCCTAATTTTTGAGTCAATCCCACCCGGGCGGTAAACACCATATGTTAGCAAACTTTGGCGAGCCATTCCGTGCAAAGAGCTGTAGGCATTCTCGGGCTCGTTCCGAGTCCTTCACGGTTCAAGGAGTATGCAAGGCTTTTGATTGCCTCGCTGAGTTCCGTCAGCTACCGTTTCCGTGAGTCTCACCTGCGTCGTCTAGTAGTACAGAGTTCACTTCGCCTTAGATACTCATCTTTCCGGGAGATATGCCTTCTACGACTCGATTCTTCACAAACGATAGAAAAGGGAAGTTGCTGTCAACATGTCGTTCCATTGGCTTCCTCAGCACCCACACGACTAGACTTTTGTGGGTGAGTTCCGTGCCCGTGTGGTGGAGCTCCTGCACCCACGACAGCTGATCGTCCCCATCAAGAACAGACGGTTCGGTCCATCGCGAATGACTCTTTATTATCTGCAGACGAGCTCTCGGAAGGTGATACTCATAGAAGGAGCTCCCGCGAAGGCTAAGGACAAGAAATAACTTCCGTTGTCCAGAAGAAAGAGTAAACCATGGAATCTTCTATAACCTAGCTATGCCCCCTGGAACGTCGTCGGGGGTCGGCAGTCCAATCGCGTCGTCAAGCACTCAGGTTGAGCGCAATCCGACCCACGGTGCCTGCTCTGGAGAGGAGTGCTAACGGACAGATCCTAGCAGGTACTCCAATGTCAGGGGACCACGCCAAGCTGCCGTTGGTGCTCTGTCACTCCTGAGCTCTGTGCGCACTCGAATGGTTGCAGCTCCACACCTAGGGGCGATCGTCATGAATGACGCAACGGTAGCCGTAGATGACATATGGTACACCCCAAGTCAGGGAGAGACAGTGCCTCACGCTTCCACAAGGACTCTCCTGCGAGCTCGGTCAGCCCTGCCGAAGGTAGTATGGTACCAGGGAGTTTCTGACCTTGGCTCGCGCTGAATGAACTTCGAACTAGACGGGCATGTCCCGGTTCTTAGGTATCTCCTAAGCCCTCGAGTGTCGGGCACTTCTCGAGTCTAGATTCTGAGTGAGGCGAAAATCGAGTACCCCGTCGATTCAGTCATTTATAAAACGGAATGATGTGATTTCTCTGATGAGGGGGTGAACCTCTATTTAGAATCAAGCTACCTCCTAATTATATATCGCGTAACATACGAGAAAAGATCTCCTCATCACTGCATCCCTTCTTTTTCAAGCAGATAAGTCATGATCGATCATCACAAGTCCCGGATCTGACCTTTCAGGGATGATTCTTCCCGAGGAAACCCAGAAGGAGAACTCGACCGGGCGGCATAGAGACCTCGATAACCCAAACGACGTATGTCCCCGAGCAGAGAGACCTCAATGTCACTAGACTTATGTGGTAGACAAGACGATCCTCTCATGATCAATTTCGAGTCGACGCGAGAGCAGACCACACTACGGGATCGATCGATGAATCGAAAGAATAAAAGCCGCTCGCCGGATCGAAGACGAGACGCACATTCCTACGAAATCCACCTCCCATTGAAATCACCATTGCCGATCTTTCCGGAGACTCCAAGCCCTGCGCTCGGCCAAAATAGATAGAGTCGGACTCTTCATCAAATGACACCAACGAAGCTCCGATGACGGACCGTGTGCGACATGCGACAGGCAACATTTCTCAGACTACCACCATTGGTCTGATTCAAGTGACGCGCCGGAATTCACTGATCCAGCAGCTGCTCACGAGACGGCCCGAGGTGGGCAAATACCTTTATTCCACGCTGCAAGTCCTCATCAAGGAGAAACGACGTGGTCCGATGGAAGCACGCGAACCTCTCGCGCATTACGCCGCCGAGCAGCTGGTTCAGACTTCGACAGAGATCTGTTACTGCATCGAGAGATGCACTCTCGACATCCAGGATATAAAGGATATGACTGAAAATCTCATGCGAATGCTCGAACGTATTTTGAAACTAGCGCCAGCTGTTGGCTTACCTTTCGCTGTCGACATCAAAAAGTTCATATTCCTGGTCCAAGACATGGCCTGTGCTCTCCAAGAGGAAGAGAGAGGAAGAATTTGTCCAATAGATTGGACGTCACTCGCTGAAATCCTCATGATGAGAGTCCTGTTGGTGAGTTGTAGCTTCGGATGCGTATGATATACCAGTGGATTGGGGTTGTAAAATTGTGAAGAGTCGAGGAAAATCGTGGTCATCAACCTGGTGCCAGACTTTCGGCGGCTCTGATTGCCTTCAGCCTGTCGTTCGATCCCATCACCCTATGTACACCAATGCATGCCTTGCGGTGCAGGTGCCATGCATGTAACTAGTGGATTGAGCTCTTAATATAATGAATGATATCGGAGCCTATAGAGCCCTCTCTGTGATTCCTCAGGTCAGGCCGACAGAGCGAAACATCTTCCGATACGTTCCGAAAATGAAGCACATCAACGGTATACGATTGATAGGGGCTGGGGGCTTCGGCTCAGTCTACAAAGCCATCTACACACCGTCGGCGACGGTGATGTGCATCAAGTTAGTGCCTGAAAACCGATTACCTGCAATTGAATTCGCTGCATCAGATAAGGTTCATTTTTCTCACAATCGAGTAATTGAAAAACACGATCCTGGCTATATTGGAATCAGTACAGAGCTGATGATCGAAACGACCTTTCCTACTGGAGGAACACCATAACACCATCGGGCGAGGATCCTCACGATTAGGGAAGCGTTCGTAGGAAGCGCTACCCTAGTCGGAGTAGCAGAGATCTAGAGCCAGGGAATTGTTCGGGTTCCCTTAAGGCTGCGAGTTCTCACGAGAACTTTAGATTTGCGAATAGGTATTTGCTTTCCAAAAACATCCTGGAGCCATCTTGACTCAGAGGAAAATTCCAAACATCCAAGACGTTTCGTGGTTATATCCAGAGATAGAAGAACTACGGTCGGAATGTTCTCCACAATGAGTTCATTCCTTTAGGTCCTATTTGTCTTTCCGCCCCGAGGGTTTATCTTCGGATGTTTGCCTCTTTTAGACAACTTCAAGTAATTCCTATTTGTCCTGCCACCCTCGCTTCGCTTCCTGGAGTAGCTGACTGAAACGGTAGAATACTGCGCGAAGAGATCGAGCCGACGGAATCCTCGGTCTTTTCGGCGGAATCACTCGCGTCTTCGAGACCGAGGAAGGATCGAGAACTGCTACTCAATTCTAATGCGGGAAGATGCTTGATTCTTCTACCTCGCCGGGAACTCCATCTCCGAGGAATCTACGGTGATTTTCCTCATTTCCAGCTGGTGGCTTCAGTGATAAACTCGCCCTTCCTCGTCCACTATATATGCGTCATTCAAGCCCAAGGAGCTTACGTGACAATGATGGAGTACGTTTCGGCAGTGGATCTCAACAAGGTCCTCACAATTTCGCAAGTGCTACCCCCGGAGGTTCTTCGCTACGCCGTCGTCCAGATTTTCTTGGCCATCGAACACCTGCATTTGAAGGGTTTCGTACACCGCGACATCAAGGTCCAGAATGTGCTTATCAGAAGCACTGGCCACGTGAAACTTATTGACTTCGACACAAACAAACTATGTCTGTCTCATTTTGTCAAAAACCGAACGTTGACCGCCTTCTTCAAAAGAACTTCAAAAGAGTTCCGGGACTCGGAGGTAGCGGGAACACTCCCATACGTGGCGCCCGAATCTTTCAAGGGCTACCCCTACGGTCGTGCTCTGGACTGGTGGGCGCTCGGGGTGACGGTCTATCGACTCCTGATCGGTCGCTTACCTTTCCGGGCGTCCAACGAAGAGGAGCTCAAGGAGAAGGTGCTGCACCATCGACCGGATTGGTCGGGTTTCGCTTCTCCGAGCACCGATGCCCGCGATTTCGCCACTCAACTATTACAGAAGAACCCAATGCGCCGGTTGGGCTCAGGGAGTTCCTACAGAGAAATCAGAGTCCATCCACTTTTCCAAGGCATAGATCTACAGGATTTCCACAAAGAAAGTCATTTGTGCGATGTTCCTTATGTTCGGGAAGCTATGAACCCAGACAATCCCTCCCGTGGGGCTCATTCCCCTCTAGCTTCAAGAGGAGCTAGAAGTCGAGTCGTCTTGGAGTTGAGTGAGTTCGCTGAAACTTTTTCTCTCCTATGCTTCCCCGATATCTATGCCCAACTTTGTTTGGTCCTGAACGCTGGTACAAGACAGCAACAGGAACTTGGGCGAATAAGTCTTGGCCTGTTACACTATCGGAATGGGCTAGACCGTACAGCATAGTGCGGATGAGAATGAGCCTGAGAATAAGCATTATATTATTATTATGATAAGCATTATGTGGATCACTGTCATTAACACATCTCAAAATTTTTGAGAGCCAGTACAAAATCTCCATTTCAGGACACGTCAGAGATGCGAATATTGGCTCTATGAAACCGATCTTGACATTCGCATCGCCTGGCTTCATGAATTTGATGGACAGATTGATTGCCATGAAGAGTCAAGGGCGAAATGATCCTGTGTGTTGTGAGGATCGGAAACTGTACGGATTGGGTACCTTGAGCTCGGATCTGAATTACGAATGGGATGCTCATGACGCTAGATCCTACAACACCTTGACTTCTATCGAAGGCATCTTGGGGTGAGCGGAGCGTCGTGTCTATCGGAAAAAAGCCTTCGATATAATTAGTTCGACCACATAGATTCACCGTTCCGACTCTGGTCGAAACCGGAGGGATTCCGGGGCTGAATCCAATTATTCTCCCCGATCGTTCACAAGTCTCCAACAGCTCGCTTGTGCGCAGGTTGAAGCGGTTCACTCGCATAAAATTGAGAGCTGACCATCGTAATTTGTTCGGGAAGTATGTATATGACATTGATTTGAGAGAAGTGAGCGGTGCTCTCGGACTCTGTGCTTTTGTCCGGAAAGTCGCGAGCAGGTACCAGAGAGGGAGTCTCCTGATAGGGGATATCATCTATTCTATCGACGACCTGAAAGTAAGCGAGTCTCTCGGTGGAGTCCGGACCTTATGCCTGAGCTCTGCATCTGAGCTCGTTCAGAGACGGTGACGTCACATTAGTTCCGACTTTCCCAGATCAGCGAAGGGTTGAAGCGGATACGGAAATATATGAAAGGGAAAAGTCATGTGCGAGCAAGCGTATTCTCCGTGAATGCTTTCCGGCTCACGAATCAAGGCATCGACGTACCGGTCACGTTTGGACGCATCGGCCACAGAGATCTGCTGGTGACGCGAGATGTCAAACGGCTCATGGACATCGTTCCGGCATTCGAAATTTTCACAATGCGGGTCCTTCCGGTGAACCGGAGACCTCTCCAAAGTCACATGATTGCCAGGTGAATCCACTTTCCCATCCATGTTCTGCGCCTAGTGACATAGATTTGATCAACTCTATCGGATTCGCGGCAGTCTTCCTTGACGCTTCCCGATCTTTCCAGTCTCCATGAAAATTTCGGAGTCATCCTCCCGACAGACGAGTACCTCTACGTCGGCGACGTGTTGCTGTCGATAAATGGTGTTTCGACGGCTATCCTAGAGACACCCGACGACCTCATAGAAGCGATGAGCAGGATAAAGAGTAATGAGGTCATGATAACAGTGCTTCCGATATCTCCCCTGAGATATCCCCCCGATTAGCGTCAGGGAATCGGAATTTGTTTTGGCTCGGATACTCTTTCCGACGCTATGCCTATTATAATTGTTGTAATGTAGTTATTGAAAGCCGACCTCATTCTCGACGAGAGAATAAATTTCATGATGAGTGTAGGAATGCGAGAGCTCTTTTCCACTCCGGACTACACACCTACTCCATACGCGTGCGAAATGAGCATAGAATCTTAGACCTTGTCTCAAGGATATTTATTCTCTTTCCCCACCCCACTTCCTGAACAGGAGAATACAACAGAGAGAACATCGACACAACTCCTTCGAGACCCAGGATAGCTCTCGCTTGACGGTCACGAGTCAGCAAGCCTTCAACAACCTCTGTAAAATAAATTTTGGGTTCTCTGTCCGAATCTTTGGGAAGGCTCTCTTCCACGTCTCATTCGAAGACTCCCCATCGCATTCGATCCCAAGATTGATCTCGAATTCCCTATTGGCTGGCCATCAACGCGAAGCGAACGCGTCCCGGGCCTACTTGGATAAGTTCCGGGTCGCGGGGTGGCGAGCGAAACTCTCTGTCCACCAGAACGGGTCGTGTGGATCTGGCGACGGCATCTATCTAGAGCCGCCCATCAGGAGGTTTACTTTTCACAATCGCAAGAAAACATTGCCCGAAACAGCCTTGTCGTCGACCTATCACAGATCTATATTATCAGCGTCTATGTCGTGACGTATCGAGCCTAGCTCGTAAATCGGTCTATCGACTCGAGAAGCGTACTGAAAAAGCATGGCTTCAATACATGCCGCTCACATCCGTGTACCAGATCCTCACTGTCGCATTCATCCTGGAGTTGATTGACATCGAGAGCTCATCGGAGCGTTATACTCGACTTTCCGGGAGCACGAAGGGCGTAGGCTCAATGAATAATCCTCCCCTCAAAGTCGCTCGCGCAACACTCCAGCGATCCGCGCCATCGCCCGTCGCAACGTTTGGCTCTTTCGAATTTCACGACATTGATCGTGATATGTTTCCGAGGTACAGTCGTAGGATATCCTAAGATTTTCCCAAAGCGTTTAAACGCTCAGCGAGCGCTTCGGAAAATAGTCGTCGATACCCCGGGCTCACGCTATCCAGCAAAGATTGGATAGTTTCGTATGTGGCACCATCACTGATGTTTTCGGTGTCTTCCTCGTCCCCGAGGATTTTGAAACCGGAAGGCGACATCAGAATGAAGAACTTCCGATCTTCCATCGTGATGATGTTCAGGTGCGCTGTGATGCTAGTTACTGGCCGTTTCTTCGAAACTGAGATTTCCTTGACCGCGAACTCCACGTCTTTCATCACCGAATCGACCTCTTCAGGGAAAGGCACCTCCAAGATGCCGTAGGGAGGCTCAGGCGTCGAGGGCTGTAAGAAAAAAGAGAATAATTCTCAAAGCTAGTCGGAATCAATAAGCGATGGAATGATGTATTAAAATTCATCAAGTATAATCTTAACCTTACAAGAAACACATGCGGGATATACACGAAATAACAGAGACCCCGTTTTTTCCGGTGTTCCCTATGTGGCTCCTCGAGCTCTACAGTATAACCTTCTTACAAGGTGCCGCATTGGAACAAGTTTCCGCAGTGCCATATCATATCTCTCCAATATTCTGGTCGGTTTCCTGTTGTCCTATTTTGCGAACGACAAGAGCCGTCGAGCGAGCTCGCAACAACGAACATTCATTTAAAGCAACCGTCTTTGCTGTCGCCGCCGAGCACGTCCTAAGGAGGTCATACCCCATTTCCCTGTACACAGCCACTATCTCGCGATCTGATGTAATCCCGCTCAGTCAAGGGCTCGGAGAATTTCAAATTGGACAGACTGCAAGTTTTTACTAAAGGTCGTATCCATTCTCTTCGGGAAATTTAATGAGGCCAAAGAGAAACAACTGCTATTGTCTGCGCCCTCACTGAGAAGCTCATTCTTATGCTGAGCTACATTGATTGGAAGTGACTCCGTATACCCAATCCCCAGCGGAGATTTCGAATAAATTGCCGATCGGTCCTCGATCGCGTATTCGAACTGCTCGGGGTCAACGTTCCCACGGACAAACATACGGTAGGGTAATAGATCGGATGGTCGATGCAGAGAGGGGAAGAGTGTCTTTCCAGGAGATGGATATCCCTGCAATTAAGTTCCTTCGCTACCTCAACCCATCTTAACAGCTTTGCTCACGTCCAATTAACCACAGAACAGCTGACGACTCCGAAAAGTAGGCAATGACCGCATCTACAGGTCTACGCGGAAAGACCCATGCTTGCTCAGGAAACCCGGATTCTCGCTAATCGATTCAGATCCTTCCCTGGCTATGACACCGGACATCCTCATGGATATATCTGAGCTTCGTACACAACTTTTCGAAGCTCTTTTCGGAAAGTGAATTCACCGCAAATTTCTCCCGTTCTTGATCTTCTCCCGATGTTTTGCCTTCAGCTGCGCATCATGGCGTTCAGAGCCGCCAAGAACGTTCAGGGCAATGTTCGGAGGAGATGTATCGACGGCCGAGCCCCCGTTCCACGCTCAAACTCGAACTTCTGATGGTCATTCGCCTCCTTCTCCTGCTCCATGTTTGGGAGAAAAGTGAGCTTGGGAGCGCTGAAATTCGGGAGCAGTCCAAGCGTGCAAGCGCAGCTGTCGCGACTTCAGGCAGAACTATTCGTGCTAAAGAAAGGAAACAAGCGGAACGAATGCTTGACAAGGGGAGGTTTCCTTTCACCGCCGCCGCGCACGAATTTGATTCCGGTCTGATCATTATTTTCGGAGCACCGCAGACCTATTGCTGGAGAATCGACAGCGAACTTATCGATATTCGATCCCATTCCAGCGTGACTCCGACCAATCTTACGCTTGGAAATCCTGAGGTGTTCCTGCATTTCGAGACCTTGGACCTCGTGTGTTGGGGACTTGGGATTTTTGAGCAAACGAGTCGAGTGCGGAAGGGGGCACAGTATCATTGTCGAGCTCACTTGAGGGTGAGGGAGATCGCCGTTCCCCACCACACGCCCGATCTCGATCAGCTAATCCGCATTTCTGTGGCGACAGATCTCATGGGAAATTCGCGATTGACCGCGCTCAGGGGCCTAACATTATTCGGTCCGTGGAAGGCGATGTAGAGAGTATTAACCAGGTTGACATAAGACATTCCAGAGGAGCTTCGTTATTCATATTCTGTGGCGCTTATATTCACAGTCTGGCAGCTAGCTCTCGGCGGTTTCCACCATACACGAGAGACAGGGTAGATTTGCCTCTGCGATGAATCTCAAAAGAAGATTTCATCGGGCTCTGAGCGGTCTCGGCGTCGAATCTCGAGGCGGCGACCGCAGACGTCACTGCATATGATAGATAAAGGTGAGACTCACGGGAAGTTCCGAGTATTTGGACGCGCCGCTTCTCCGGTCAGGCATTATTTGTTTGATGGTGGTAGAATAGCGGATTGAGAAAAAACCTCGTTCCCCCCTGATGAAACAGATGGCAGATCCGACGAAACTCCACTCAGCAGTTACTATTCAGCTCCATTAGTACGAAGCCAAAAACCCTCTAGACAACAGTCTGCCGTTGCTAGACTAGTGAACTTCGTCGTTGCTTCGAGCCGGTTTCGACAGGGTCTCTAGTCTCTACCCTCTGGACCTCAGCAGATATGTATCCAACTCGTGTCCTCACGCCCTCTCCCTCCGATTAGGTATTGTGAGATTAGCCGAAATTCGGGGAAGACAAAGGACAAAGGTCAACAGATTCGCAAGGATGGAATAGAGTGCTCATTGAGCGAATCGTTGCGTGAATAATCCTGATTCCCGAAGAGCTGCAACAGGAAAGTGAAATCTCGACGGTGACGTCGCAATTCGCATCACTCATACGTACCGAAATATTTTCACTAAGTCAATTCGAAAATTCACTCGACGTATCGGCACCTTTCTGATCTCTCGGCTTCTGTGAGCAAGCTTCCGAGACAGGTAAATTTTAACGAAACGGAACATACTAGACTGCGACGAAGCAGAAGCTTCTTCTGCATATTTTCCGTCTCGGCTTCACCTGTGGATTTAGCGGCCGGCGAACCCTAAGGCAATTTGCTCGACGAGGCGCTCGTACATCGAGCTAGGTTCGCTCGTTCGTAGCCTTGCGAATCCTTGAACATTTTTCAATCACCGACGTGTACAACGATCTTAAGCCCACCGTCTCGAGCCCCGGTTAGAGGTAAACGAATTTTCGGGGAGCCGCAGAACCCGCAATCGGGTAACGGAAGGCAGCTTCCGGAACAGGACGACATTGTGGGCGGACGACATGGAAAAAATGACTTTGTGTCAAACCTAGAACACCGTGACGACGCGACGCGGGCTCGCTCTCCACGTATAGACCGGCCATAATGATGGTCTCAGCAACAGAAACTGCCAACTCCGTGAGCACTGATGCTGACGTGTTTATTAGAATGAGCCGTCATGCGAAGGATGTAGACAACCGTTCTGATGGCTGTGAGTGATCACCCTTCCCGGATGGCCTCTTACCCCCCGATTCGTGGTTAGAATTGTAAGAGCAAGAATGTTGTACGAGGGGAAACGAGGAGTCCTCTTATGCCGAAACCTCCTTCTTAGACCCGGCGTGCTCCTGACATTTGATGAGCGCTTAATTGCTACGACCTCCTCGTCCGGATGGTGATCTCAAAGGGAATGTAGCCTTGCTTGATCGTTTCGATCGACGCCCGTCCTGGGAGACGACTCCATTTCGATATGTGGTCTGGCATGTCACGACCGAGGATATTTTCTCTTAATCCCTTATACAGTATTTCTCATGTTGAACGCCCTCTTTCCATGAATTCAGCGTTACTGCGATTCTGCGCCCTCCTTTCATGCTCAAGTGCATGGGCATGGGTTGGAGTCGTATCGAAGATTCGACAGATGCCAGAGATTTGGAACAACTGATTCCCATGCTTCCGTCTCCTCCAGGGAGAGATTGTGTTTCGAACAGTCGTTGACTGTCATTGAAGAAGAACTTTTGCTTCTTAAAGTGAGAGGTTGAATCGGGAGTTCGCATTTGTCGGAGACGGTACGGTGATCAGAGTCGCCCGGAGAAGTCTGAGCGGGCTTCCTCGTGTGAACAGAGAGAATACTCTAATCGAATCATGGATACCCTGATCTTATGCACGTGGCTTCTCGGCTGCCGATCGCTTTCCGCGAGCGGAATCGCGCATCCGCCAAGTCGTGCATAATAGTTATGGACGGCGTTTACCGACCAACCTCTCTGGCGTCGACTCCTGGTCAATAGGCGCCGCGAATGAGCTCGATCTCGCTTTCGCTGGATATAGGATCGTTGCACGATCATCTCTCATCAATCACAAAATCTCCACGGATGAGTCAACACATATTATTATTGGTTCACATAGACAGATCCTCAAGATCAGAACTTTCCGTTTACGAGACGAATCGCGTTCCTCACTCATCAAGGTCGAATCATGGGATCGAATGCTAGAAATTGTCTCTGGAGACCTTTCTCTCAGATATCCTGGAGCTGCGTCTCCAGGTTGTCGACGAGTCGCAGGAGTCTATGAGGTCACTATCCGGGAATCGCGGTTTCTTCGAGAAATTATTTCGCAACGAAGAACTTCTCAAGTTGACTTTGTTCTCTCTTCTCCTCGCTGGGCTCGGCCTCGGTTCTCCCGCCCCCACGGCCTATTTTTCGTCTTTGGGACTTTTCGGAAATCCGACATTTTCATTCACTCCATCCATTCTTGTTGGAGAATTCGAGCGACCGGTAAGCGCGATGAAATCAACGCACTCTCTTGCTTGGGAGCTCTTACGTCGCCACGAACGCAGGTTTGTAGATCTCAACACATCATGGATACGCCTGCCAGTCGATTACATCAATTCCTGATATATCCTCTCGTTCGGCTGATTCATGTTCCTTTCCCTTTCTGCCCGCTCAATTCTGCGATCGATGTTCTCGGAGCCCCGGCGTTTTGGAGCTGCGCAATTGGAATCCCTCAGTCGTATTTCTCATGTGAAGACCAGGAGGCCATCATTCCGGCCATGTGTCCCCCCACCGAAAAAACTCGCATCCTGTGCGCACCGCTGGGGATGGTGCTATGAATCGATCGCTAATACAGTGCGAGGAATATCAGATCTTGTGGCATCCCTAAATGGATGGGAACTCGTACGGCTATTCTGAGCAGAGGAATAATTCCGGCTGCTCGGGGAATTCTCAACAGCTACGACACCCAAATGACGCTTTCAACAACCAGAAGCGGAAGCGTAGCGAACAAATGTCGGAGAAACGTCGACTAATGAAGTCCGGCTCATCCGACCATGATTCAGATTGAACGGAGTACGAGGATGATGTAGGAGAGTGAAACGCAGATCAGCGTGCCAACAGAGCAGCGAACGAGCGAGTGGGATCATAAAAGAGGAGGAAGTCGTTCTTGGCGTGGGAAACGGGAGAATTTCGGAATTCGCGGCGACGTTCCCGCGTGCACGCCAAAGCGATTCTCTGTTCATAAACTCGAAACTCCTACTACGGCACGAAATTTTTCGAGGGCAACGCAACTTGCTGTCCGAAATTTCAGGGCAGAGATTTCCACACGAGGTCTCTGGCGGAACCGCGCAATGACACGTGACTGGGGCTTTAGCTCTTGATTCTTGATATCAGGGAGTCCCTCGATTATCGAGATGATGATTTTCGTAAAATTCTCGGATGTTGTTTTCGGAACAAACAGAGAGAGACTGCGAAGTTCAACTGTACGATACGCCGCGCGAGTCGATTTCTGCCCCAGGGCCGAAGCATCAGGCTGTGAAGGAGAAGAGGGGATCACCAGCTCGAGATAAGCTGAAAGAGGTGCAGACAAGGCTAGCGAGCATCCCTAATAAGAAGTCTAGCGCCTGCCCAGAGAGAAGAAGAAGGATCCGAGCAGCACTGTCGGCGAGCTACGTGTAGAGTTAGCCGGTTTCGGAATGGAGATCGACAAGCGTTCCGGGATTCGGCCGGAAGACTGACGGGGCGGGAGCGACAAAAGGGGAAGCAAATCAGAAATCTGTTCAATCGCCGTTTTCCGTCATATCGCCCGTCTACCTGTAGCTGATCGACATCTGCGCCTTCCCTGGTCGGTCCGATATCAAATGACCAGCGCTAGTTGGGAGTCGAAACGCAGATTGGCTCCGAACGCCTGAACATTTCCGTCTGGGTGTTCGCTGCCCCTGTACCACGAGTCCAAGTCTCGAATGTGAAAGAGCTGGGGGTGAAGTTCCATTCCGATGGTGACGTGGCGGGTCGTTCGCGGGTTCGTTGATTGGGAGGGGGCTCTGGTCGCGAGAACTCATCAGCTGATCCGAATCGCTCCAAGCAAGTTTCACGAATACGCAGACAGGGGAAACGGATTCTGCCTCGTTGCGGTGTGCCATAGGGAGTGAGGTATCGATGGCCGGGCGATAAAGCGATCACCATATCTATCTCGGCGCAGAGATCGCGGAGTCGATCGCTTATTCTTTATCGACTTCGCATACAGTGACGGTCAAAATAATGCAGGGTTCGTAGCAGCCCTCGATGTGTCAGGTTTCTATTGATCCATACCATCCGGCGATACTACATATATCAGAGGAGCTCATCCCTTTCACCTCAGGGACGATTTCTCGGCAGATCGGTCGGGTCTGCTTCACCCATCGCTCATAGTGATTCCTTGGTTCATCGCAGCCCTCAACGGTCAGGGAGCTCCTAGAGCCCCGATTTCCCACGGAGCCTCTTGTCATTGGAGTTATCGGGGGTGCACGCTAATATCACGTTTTGGATAGTTCCTTCCGACATCCCACATGGACAACAGTATGGGTAGATATTTTGCAACGAGAAGCTCAGAGATAAAAATGGAGAAAGTTGAAAACCGTGAATTCACATGAATGAAGGGGCTCCGAATACCCTCGCCGTGTAGCCCGAGAGAAGCGAATCCGAACCTTCTCCTCTGGGGTCCTTCCAAAATTAGAACCGGGTCGGGTGAAGAAGATCAATGATCACCCAATCCATTTCATTGGGTCGCTCGAGGCTGTCTGAAGTCATACGAGACTAAGGTTCTAAAGCTCCCTAATTGAGACCGTCTCGAGACGGTGATCTCCTACTTGATGCCGCCCTAGCATCTTCGCCCCGGACTTGGCACCCGTTCGAGCAAACACGGGGTTCGCCCCTAGTCAGTACTGGGTGGGGAGGATAGATCAAGAGGCGAAGAGAATTCCGGAAGTCGTCATTAATAGAATCAATGGAGATTTGAGCTCGCAGCGAACACGGAGACCCATCGGAGTCTCTTGATTTTGAATGCCCGCTCTCTGCACACCGGTTATAGCAAGAGCCCGACATGCCTCGACATCCGACGGATAGAGTCAAATTCTTCTGCCGATTAAGCCCTCGATGTTTGTCTACAGTTGTGCTGCGAGGGTGCTGATCGCCGGCGACGAGCAATAAATTCGATCGAGTTCCTCCGAGACTTCACAGTTCCAGAGCGAACAGTAAGGGTAGTGCTTCACAATGTCGATCGCTGAAGATCTCAAGGAGATGGGCTTTGCTTCTGACAAAGTAGAACAAGCTGTCAGAGCTGCCGGAGATTCACTCGAGCAGGCCATGGAGTGGATTTTAGCACACCAGGATGAGCCTTCAACTTCGGCGGCTACGGCCGGAGCTGTGGCAACGCCTTTCGCTGCCGAAGAAAAAGACAAAGCCCAAGAAGAATCCGCGGCGGAAGCCCCAGCAGCTGAGGGTGAGTGATTTCCCCCTCCTCGCCGAGAGCAAACAGAAATGCGATTTCGATTATATGATTCGCGGAATAAGCATTCTGACTGATAATTGGAGCGTGATTGGCTTCCGTTCACGGGGGTTCCCCCTAGAAGAATTATTCTCCTTCGCCCGCTTAATCGTCGCTATGAACATTGAGTTCATTACGTCCATCAGCATATCGTTAGGAGAATTGAAGAGCAAGCTTGCAAGAATTAGCGTCGACAGAGAAAGCATTCCGGATGCTTCCAGCGGAGTCAGCACTCTGTTCTAATGACGACTCATCGCGAGCATGAGTGCAAACCAAGCTCTCATAGCTCCGACTCGGGACTAATTCTTATTTTCGATTTCAGTCCGATCAATGAGATGTGATGATTGTCAAAAGTTGTTCCCGAACGAGGACGCTCTCGTGTTTCACGCATCGAAAACGGGACATTCGAACTTCTCCGAGAGCACGGAACAAGTGAAACCTAAGTCTCCCGAAGAAGTTGTGAGTACGAATTCGCATCTCTTCCCGCGCATCTGTGCGTCGCATTCCATGCATGGCCGTATGCAACCGGAAGTCGAGGAATGTCTAATCAGTCGAAGAGTTCGCAGCACGGAGCCAGCTCTTGCTTCTGTCTTGTTTCAACGCTGGCGAAGTCGCTCCGCGATATCGCCCCCGAGTCTGCTACGCCATCGTCCTGGTGCGCGAAGAATGCAGTCAGACCGATTCTTAACCCTAGAGTTGGTTTAGGCTCCGCCTGCTCACTGTTCGGAACGAAGACACAGCAATGACAGATAGCACGAGTGGCACGTGGACACGCAATCAAAATCTCGGGATAGGCGACGAGACACATGAGTTTCGCGTGCTGAGGAGTCTCCAGTCGAGGCTTGGACAGTCACATGACTTTTTCGCATCCACACCGAGGCCCCATCAAGTCTCTAACCGCGTTCTCCCAGGACGTGGTCCAAAGCTGGGTCTCGAAGCCTCTCGAGGGCACTCTCGGAACGCAATCGAAGATGCATCGAAGATTATAATATCCGTCTTTTCATTACAGAAAGCACAACTCGCTGCCCTCGAAGCGAAAATAAAAGAAAACAGACGAATCAGAGAGGAGAAAGAACGACAGGAAGCTCTGGACCGCGAGAAAAACCGACGGACTCACGGCAAAGAAATTGTGGAATTGCGTCAAAAATTCAAGGTACGTTATGCTTTTACGCGGCACCAATTTTACTCCCTGTACCAGTCCCCCTATCGATGCAGAGCAGGGGCGATCGCTCCGGAAATGATCTCACGAAGGGGGAGGATAACACTGAGCATTGAAGACACGATTCGGACCTTTCGCAGGATGACGAGATGAAACGCGAAGTGGAAGCTCGCCGCCGGGAGAAAGAGGCCGATGCTCTAGCCCGCAAACGAGTATTGGAACAGATAGAGAGAGATCGCGAAGAGCGAAGACAGCGGCAGGCGGGCGCGGCCGCAGCACCGAAATCCACAGCGGCACCCGCACCGATCGCCGTCTCGGCCCCTGCGAAAGAGTATGCCGAAACACGGATCCAAATAAGGTTAGCGTCGGCACCCATAAGAAAGCTCATGGATTCCAGGGTCCATCAGCGAGCGGTCTGGGGACGATTTTCGTCCCAGAGATAGAGGGAGCATTTGAGAGCACGGCGGCCTGCAATGATGTTTACCTTCACAGATTAACCGACGGAAAAATAATGAACCAGTCCTTCAGAGCGGAAGATAGTTTGGCAATTGTTCGTTGCTATATCATAACCAATCGCACCGATGGAGACGTTCCTTTCCAACTCATGACATCCTTCCCGAAAAAGGTGAGGTCCTCCATAATATCGTGTTATGTGTTCGGCGTTATCGTCCGATTCAGGTGGAGACGCTGGTAGCATTACGAATTACACTCCATAACGAGCTGTTCCAACGGGGACAACTCAGCGACAGCCTCAGCGAGCCGAATGTCGGATGTGGGGATCTACCTCGAGCTCCACGTTAAGAATCCCTCGGAGCTCCTCCGAAGAAGGCCTTCGGAGAATATCGAGGGATTATTGCGACGCGAGCATGGGAAGCACGACGTTGGCGTGGAATTTCCGCGAGAACAGAATGATGAATGCGATTTTCTTCCTTGAAGGTTTATGGAGAGGAGGACATGTCGAAGACTCTGAAGGATCTCAAATTGGTACCGTCAGCTGTTTTGATCCTCAACAAGTCGGAATCTGTTCAGGCCTACTAACCCGTTCTACACCTCATATGGCCGCGCCGTGAGAATGATTGTGGATCCATCCGAACGGGAAGAAGCTTATTTATTCTTCAATAAAAAATCCGATGCTCCGTGCACTTGATTGAGTACTGACTTCACGGACCTACTTAGGAATCCGAGCGATTCCTTTCGACTCGTTTAGGAATAGACCTCTGGATTCTGTCGAGCTATAGGGACCCTGGCTCATGACAGGCGCAGCTCCTGGAGCGATCCAGGACGTAACGAATGATTGGCTTCTGTTCAATCTAAACACAGACGTTCGATTATGAAATCGTTTCCTATAGACTCCCCTCTATTCAATCCTCAGTCAGCCTCCTCGGTCAAGCCGCGGCCGCCGCCCTGGACATCGCTCCATCCTCATGAGGTGTCTGACGAGAGTACCACATCTATCGGATCGAGGTATAAAATCGGTTCATCAAAGCTTCTCATCTGTGACGAGAGCTGTTTGTCCCGTTGCGCCTCGGTTCACAGAGCCCAGATTACTGCTCAGTGATCCAGTCCTGACTCCGAAGTGAACATCGCAAGCACCTAGGAGTTTCTCCATGCGGAAACGAAACAAGACAAAGATTTAATCCGGGCTCGAGAGTGGAAAACTGAGCTCTTCGGGGTTTTACACGATTATTATCATTATCATTATTATTATTATTCTCAAGAGAGCGCTCGACGATTGCCGTATCGAGCCCGATCAGTCACATGGCGCGCGAGTCACATCCTCTCCGCGCTCCGGGAAAAATCAAGTGTTTTAGGATCCCGCCAGTGAATCAAGGAAATCGTTTCGGAATCTGAACTTACCATTGGAGAGCCCATATTCGATCCTGTAACTTCGCCGAGATTCTATTTCGACGGGCTCGAGACGGAGAGATGTCACTCCAAACTTTCACGCAGCTCAACCAGAAATGGAAGCCGTCTGTCACACGAATAGGAAGATTTCTCCAGCAGATAGACTGACGAAAACAGCAGTCTTGCGCAGCCTTGCAGCTCCCGAAGTCACCACAGTTCCAACGATAATTCACAGAACTGCTGAGGATGCTCTCCGAGTCACGGGCGCCAGGCGCTCGAACGTTTGAACCGCACACGTCTAGTGCTCACGGGGAGCAGCAGAGGGCCAGCGCGGAGGGCATCGCCATCTTTGTTTTGATGGCCGATCCGTCTGCCAATGTTTACTAACGCACGTGTCGCGAGAAGAATCGAACGAATCGTACAGTTATCCTTTTCGCGCTATTCAACAGTGACTTTTCCTGCTATTCTGGACAGTCCAGACGTCATCCTCATACCGTGGAGTTCTGAAGCATCTCAAGAAGCAAGGGACGTTAAGAGAGACCCAATTCTCTGCGCTCCGTTCAGTGCTCTGACCAGCCGATTCAGTGCTTTCCACCACTATCGAACCGTCAAGCTAGTGCGCGGGACCACGAGTTAAGTTCCGCAGTGGAGGCACTCTGTGATTTCGAAGCGTATCGGCTATCCCAGCCTCGACAACAATGGTGAATCCGAAGACCAAAGGCGAGAAGAAGAGACGGAAACCGAAACAAAATCACGCGGTGCCCGCCGAGCTTCTGGCAGACGAGCGATTCAAAGATGTTGCTCTCGATCCGAAATTCCGGTCGATTCCTAGATCAGAAGCTAAAATCAAGATCGATGAACGATTCGGAAAAATGTTCACCGATAAGCGTTTCAAAATCAAAGCTACCATGGACAAGAGAGGCCGGCCGGTCAATACTACGAGCTCTGAGGATTTGAAACGCTTCTATCATCTCGACGAAGGGGAGGGAGAGTCAGGGAGCGACTCTGAGGGTGATGAGAAGGGGTCGGCTTCAGGGAAAATTAAACCGAAAACCAAAACCAGATCGGAAGAGTGCCGTGACACCGGGGCCGACAGGGTTGGTCGAAGTGACGAGATCCGTGGCAAATTAGTTGGGGACGAAGATTCGAAAGCGCCGTCCTCCGACGACGCTGATCCATCGTCCGCGGATGAACTTCTTGATTTCGCGAGAGGAGAAGGAAACATCGAGACTTCGGAGGATGACAGCACAGATTCCTCCGAGGACGAAGAGGAGAAACTGATGCGCGAAGAAGCCGAACAAGAGGTCGAATGGGACGAGTTGGACAAAGACGCACCGCGTAGCGACGATATCTCGAAACGAATCGCTCTCTGCAATATGGATTGGCAAAATTTGAGAGCCGAGGACCTTTTCGTATTGATGCATTCCTTCGTTCCCGCGGACGGAGTAGTACACCGGGTGAGAATCTTTCCCACGCAGTTCGGGAAGGAGCGCATGCTAGCGGAAACGAAACACGGTCCAAAACTCAAGTCGAAGGACGCCCAAGCCCTGAGGAAATACGAATTCGATCGACTGAAGTATTACTACGCCGTGGTCGAGTGCGATAACGAGAGAACCGCGAACGCTATCTACGAGAGCTGCGACGGCACCGAGTTCCAGACATCTGGGACGAAACTCGATCTACGTTTTATTCCGGACGATATGGAATTTGACGAAAGCGAGCAAACAGATTTCTGCGATTCCTTGCCCACCGAATACGAGCCGGTGGACTTTGTCAATGCGGCCCTCATGCAGTCGACGTGTGAGAGCACCTTCGACAGCGAGGACTTGCGACGGAAGAAAACGCTCGGGAAACTGTATTCAAAAGAATCGAAGAAAACCCAGAAGAAAAAAGGTCGCAAGCAGGACGACGATCAACTCGACCACATGGCGGCGCAGCTTAAAACCTACATAGCCTCGGAGAGCGAGGAGGAGGACCCGAAGAGCGCTGCTGACAAATATCGAAAGCTGCTGCTGAGCGCTGATGACCAGGAAGAGAACGAGGCGTCAGAGGACGGCGACAAAGAGATCGTTTTCAACCCCGAGCTCAATGCTGCCGTTGAAAAGGCGCGCAAGGAGAAGAATGATCGGGAAATCAAGTCAAAGAAAACCCCGTTCCAGGAGTACCTTGAGAAGAAGAAGCAGAAAAAACGTGAGCGCCGTCTGGCCGAAAAAGCGAAACGCAAGAAGGAGACAACGTTTTCAGACGACGAATTGCCCGCAGGTGTTGACGAAAACGACGAATTCTTCAAACAGAACTTATCGGACTCGGACGATACGAAGCGTCGCCAAGAATCAGTTCCCTCTGCCGACGATGACGCGGAGGAGGAAGAGGAGGAACGGGAAAAGCGTCGAGGGGAAGAGCTTGAGTTATTGCTTATGGATGAGCAAGGCGACTCGCGGAAGCATTTCTCTCTGAAGAAAATCCTTAAAAATGAGAAGCAGTCCAAGAAGAAAAACGAAACCAGGGGAGGAAAAGGCTCCCAGGCCGCAGCTCAGGACGATTTCGAGGTCAATGTCAACGATCCTCGATTCAGCGCCATCTATTCCGACCACAGGTTTAACATCGATCCCACGGACGCGTCCTTCAAACGAACCAAGGCCATGAACGCTGTGCTAGAGGAGAAAACCAAACGACGGAGAAAAACGTAGGTATTTGTTTCTTTATTAGGCGCCGAAGACTCAAGTTTGGTGGCTCGACCCTCTCATGCTCGTCGCCGTCAATTGAGTCGCTCCACGTGAAGACCTTCGCGCTTAGACGTTCCTTATGTACATTGAGCGGAAATAAATTGAATATCTTTCAACCATTTGCCGAAATTTTTCCTTGGCTAATCGAGAATCCCTAGCAGCTGATTCGCTGTCCCCTGGAAAGAGACTCTCCCCAATTACGCTCTTGGCTTGTTCCCTCCAGAGAAATATTCGCGTTCGGACCGTGACCGGACCTTCGAGGAGCTCCGAGCACGTGAAAATCGCGCCCTTCCCATGCGTTTATATCCTCAGAGAAATCCGGAAATTGATAATGACGTGCATCTCTATGTCTCTGAGGAGGTCAATGGAAGGGACGCTGGTTCTGAGTTCTGAGACTCTTCCTTGGACTTCCGCACGGAAAAGTTCGTCAGCTTCCTCGGGTTGTCACGATGTTGCAGCCGGGGGCGAGCTTCCTTTGTGTCTCGGAAATACCCTACGATCGAGGGATGGTCGATCGGTGTAATGCATTTCATGTGAGGAGTACATGAGACCGAGTATAAGCGCCAAGGGACGGCCGAGCCTTTGGCTAGTGCTCTCAGGTCTCTCGTTCGTGAGAATTGATGCGACACAGCCGCGTCACGTCTCACCACGGCGCGTCACGTGAAGGTGCAATAATTCTTCGTTGCGCATTATCCATTCGACTCTCCGTAGCGTGTACAGTGGTACATTTGGGGGGACATCATCTGAAGTCTTCCTAAATGTTGTGACAGTGTACCCGGAACTTTTCCAGCCCTGTCACGTATGTGGAGCCATCAGACAGAAACCGTCGTATTCCACTCTTCTGTCACGGGGGAATAACACGCGACTCGTATCCGATCGAGGGCAGCTTACCATCCCACCGCTCTTATCGATCCGGATCATTGCAGGTCATCTATTGACACCTTATCCTTATGACGGCGTTAAGCGCCCGCGGACTCGATCGTCCGCAGTCCGCTCTCTTCAGAAACTCAATCACCGTACCTAGGGCTGCGAATGGAGCCTCGGTTCTTGCTAGAGGGAGTTCGACTTTCGGCATTCCCGAGCTGAGCGATTATGCGCTGCGCGGGAATTCCCTCAAGAATTCCAGCCGACCTCTCACTGCGGATCATCGTGATTCCCTGCGTGGAGAAGTACAAGAGTTCGTTGACCGGGATTCCCATTCGGATTACGCGTCTATCCCGAGCTAGTTCGAGGCATCAGCCTTCGCGTTGATTGATCTATTTTCGAGGAGTTCATCCGTTACGATCTTCCCCACGCACGATTCATCCCGATCATTCCGGGAATGACGTTTTGAAGTCACCGACTCTGCTTTTTATTCGTCCGGGGTCACTGGCACCCAGCTATATCCATGGCCTGACGACTTCCCTGTCGTAGGTCCTCCGCAGACTTGCTCCTGAGTTGGCACAGGGGTTTAGACCTGTGTCCGATGGTAAGCTTGGGGTCGGGGAATTCCGGTCTCCGTGTCGCTCTCGAAAAACTTCCAGGCTGCGGCGCGGTCTCGGATTACGAAGCACCTGAAGTAATCCTCGTTCTCGCTTCTTCTCGCGGAGACAATCTCTTGATCCTGGAAGAACACAAGTCAGGTTCATTCCGCTAACGGATTTTAGAACCGGATGTCTCTCATGGGAGATGTCATTCGAGAGTTCCCGCTCCGGGCCCTCACAGTTGCGGCTTCCCCGCCTCTCGCTTCCCCCCACAGAAAGCCACAATGTGTCTCCGGGTTGGCCTCCCACGGCATGTCGAAGTATCTAGGGCAAATGAGAGACCGCAAAGCGATCTGCTCATTTTGCGTCTTGATCGATCGACATAGAAAATCGAAACTTCAGGGCATGCTGTCAATGAGCTAGGATGTGATCGGGGAATAATTCGTTCCGTTGGCCCGCGAGAAAGGATGACGAGTGGTCTCGATCGCCTACAAAATAGACACGAGTAGAAATAAGGAGAAGCTTTCGTATATCATCGCTATGAATCGCGTCTGCAGACGCCCGCGATGGATCGTCAAGCCTTCGTATTCAATCAGGCTGGGAACATGCATTCGTGTGCCCTTCTCCACTTCACGAAGAATGAGGAACTCCCTCATATTGATCCGAAAGTTTTTTGAAGCGACGCCCCCTCTAGGCTTAGATTCCAGGAAAATAAGCTCTCTCATGCCTTTTATCGTATTTCCCGCTGAATTTCCCGCCATTTTAGCGGGCAGTCGAAACCACAATCGATAGTTACGGAAACCTCAGGTCAATTCAGCTCAAAACGGTGCACGATTTGTCGGAGACTCGTTCCGTAAGTTCATATGTAGTAGATCATGGATAGAATCGGCTCACTAGCCCTACTGCACTCTTCCACCCTGATAGGGACCCCGTTCGGAGATCCCGATCGGAACGCTGACGAGTCTAGTCTCCCTATGCATAGCAGGAGAAATCAACCTCCGAGGATTGATAATGTCCTTACACCGTGTGGTGTAAGGACATTATCTCTGCAGAGCGTGAAGGATCGTTATCCAGGTCCATCTTCGGTTCACGGGGCGCTCGAGCGGCACGCGATGCTTGCGCCCGAGCGTTCTGCGTTCGAAGGTGATCGATGAGTTTCTCGAAGGGGGAGGGGGATGTTCAGTGACCGGTGTAAGCTGTGATGCTCAAAATGAAATAATGATCGGTCTCTTTTGGGATAACTGCCCACTGATTCTCATCCTGACTTCTGACGACCGAGCGACGTAGCCGCATGACAGGGAGATCGCGACCATGACCGATCCTCGCCCAAAGTCGGGAGTTTGCGAAGGACCGTGTTTCTCGCTAATGGGAGCTGTTGCAATGAACCTTCCTTTTTCCGTACTGAAATTGGAGCTCGTCTTCCAGTTTCATCTCATCCGCGTTCGAGCCGGTCGCTTCCTGCAACATACTCAGTCACTTCGACTGGGTTTCAAGTACGACCTCGGCACATTCTTTCCATCTCGAATATACACATTCTGTCACACAACCGGCGATGGAATTCGGAAACAAGGCACAGATCCCAACCGCCGAAGTCCTCTTCAAACACGATCGGGATACCATCGAAATGGCACGGACGTGGTGCTCCCTCGCGTATGACCACGCCTGCAGGGGACTCATCCGAAACGCTCGAGACACCCATGAGGAAGCAATGAGGAGAGTCTCGACGCAGAGCGACTTCCTGCGAATCTTTGAGGCGAACACCGTATTTGAGTACGCCGTCTGGAATTGCGGAGGGTCACGGGGCACGAGAAGCCCTACAGCCCGCCCGCGAGATCCCGGTACGAGTCGCTGCTGCGCCGTGGAGCGCTTCCGCTCAACGACGCGGCGTAATTTCTCAAAAAGACCCGAATAATTCTCGTCATTGGCTGCGGCACGCAGACCTTTTGGGAGACGACTACGGGGCCGAAGTCAGGATCAGTCAACACGCGCTCAAAAGCGTCGATCCTAACCTGGTGTCCGAGGGCGAATTCTCGAATGTCTGGATCAGCCTGTCCAGGTATCTCGAGTCTCCGGAGCTCGTGGAGCCCGCGAGGGACGCCCTCCACGGAGGTATCAGCGAGATGGACGTTTGCCGGGAAGCCAGAGACTCGGCGAATGGTTGGTCCGAGCTGGTCGAGGTGGAGCTCCGTCACCAATGAGCTGAGAGGATCGAGAAAACTTATTTTTCGAAACACGCAGAGTATTTCCGCGGCCTGAGCGGACTGAGCTCTAGCTTCATACCTCAGAAGTCCTCGACAGCCACTCAAATGTTGTACGCTCAAGACCCGTCTTACGAGATGTTTTGACGTGAAACGTCTTTAATTTCGACTTGGGGGGCGCGTTCAATGTACTTCGTCCTTCATGTAACGATTTAACGCCGCTTTTGAGAAGCTAGAACTTTCTTGATTGTGCACAGAATTTTTGTTTGATTGTATTGATCGGCAGACAATTCACGGGACAATCTTCTATTCGAGTTTGAAATGAATCTGAGAATGTTAAAATTTATTAAGTTTGTGTAGGGAAGAAAACGGGTCACATCAACAGATTTGTGGCAGATTTTGTCATGACGAAAAAGAGCTGGGTTTTGTTCACCGTTCTGGCGAAGGCGTTTCATGTCCTATCACGGTAGTGTCATGACACTACCTGCGTGAAGTTTTTCCTGTATTTCTCGCCCACGCTTAAAAAATGAACGAAATTTTGATTGAACGTACATCCTTCTCTCTAGCCTCGTGGCTAGGCGATGTGGCGCCCGGTGCGGACCCCGGGAATGCCGCCCATATCGAAAGAAATCGTATGCACGATTTTTGGGAGCTCGATAGCTTATTAGGATGTAGCTTGAAGACTATGGCGGAAACAGCGACCGGAATATTGACTTCTTCACTGATGTCAAGAAGTATCTTCGGTGGAGTTCCTTTTCCGGAGCCCGAAGTTCCTGGAAGGGTATCAGATATTCTCTCTTCGGTGGTCTTGAGCCCGGGATATTTCGCACTTTATACCTCTTGGGTGGTGAAGCATCAGACGCGCGACGATGATGTGGAGGGGCTCTTGTTTGAGGTTACCCTAGGCTAGGAATTTGCCCTCGGATGGTGCCTTAGCGCCAAGCCTTTGTCCAAGACAGGGGCCGGGGGAAGCGACCCACAGAACGAGTCCTGGATTGCCGGCAGTTGAATCATAGCTAGACTTCATCAGACCAGCACGCGGCTCTGGACTAGATCCGGCCCCACCTGGACGGTATCTTCGAAGTGAAGTGCACTGAAGATCCATAAATCCTTCGATTTCTCATCGATTTGCCACCGGGCTCGAAAGCGCACAGCGAGAGCACCTCCCCGAACGAACGTACGGGCGCTCGAGTGAGACTCAGGCGACAGCGAGTACGTAATGAGTTAGCCCGTGTGGGGAATTTAGGCGAAGTTCTCAATTCTGCCACAACTAATCACGGTGTGCCTCATTCCGCTTCCCTGT